AAAAGCCTAGCTAGCAATTACAAATTAATAAAACTAATGAAAACAGGGAGTGAAAAAAAGAAATGACAAAACCAACCCCTCCTCGCTGACCATCTACATGTATGGAACGGATGTGATCTGCCAGATCTGGACTAGAGTTGAAGCAAGCCTGGCACTGGTCCCAACAACAATTATAGGCAATATTTTTGCTTGAAGAAGTAGTGCTTCCTTGTCCATTCATCATTGCTGGAGTTGAACGCCCACTGGAAATTGTGCTGTCTACATCCATTATAGTACTGCTTATGCTACAAAAGAAGAAAAAAGGCTGTGTTATTCCTAGAAATTCACTAACATGAATATGATCTTATACTTAATTAAGATTACTACTTGACATTCTGCTCCATACAAAGCATACTAAATCATATTTTCTATTAGAAAACAACACTGCTTTGAAATCATTTAGTTGGCAATAAAGTGCAAATCAAGGCAAAAAAAAAAAAAAAAAAAAAAAAAAAAAAAAAAAAAAGAAATGCTGGTATCTCAAAACCAGATATGGGATAATTTAAGTAACTTTTGGCAGACATGAACTCAATACTATAACCTACAGAAAGCAAAGCAAACACACACACACACACACACACACCCCATACATACAGCTCATCAAATTTCAGCCCTTGCATAGTTCTGAGAAGCACAATAAAGTAATAGAGTTATAGTGTCCAGCTATAAATAATTCAGAACCAAGAGTATGTTTACAATTCTGCAAATCACTTGTTAATCCATAATCATTTCCTCTATTCACTAATCTAAGAATACAACTGCTGTCATATCCTACTTCTCTCCATCTCAAAGAAGTTGGGAAATTGTGCAATATTTTCCCTTCTAAATAAACAAGCAGAAGAGAGAAAACTGGGTGCAATAAAAAGTTTCTCCAATTTTACCAAAGTCCAAATAAAATGTCTTTTTCTAGACCTCAATTTTTTTTTTTTGCTAATCTCTATCCACAAAAAAAGGACTGAAAAAGCCAATCTTTTTTATTTTTTATTCACTAAAGTATAACATATTAGTGACCCTTTTATTTACTAAGAAAATTACATACTAGTAGAAATAAAAGTAAAAAAAAAAAAAAGAAAGAAATGAAAGCCTTCCTTTCAAAAGCAATTCATTTAAGGGGACGGCTGGCTGGCATAGTCAGTAGAGCATCTGACTCTTGATCTCAGGGTTGTAGGTTCAAGCCCCATGCTGGATGTAGAGATCACTTAAAAATAAAATCTTTTTGGGGCGCCTGGGTGGCTCAGTCGGTTAAGCATCCGATTTCAGCTCAGGTCATGATCTTAAGGTTCAAAAGTTCAAGCCCTGCATCGGGCTCTGTGCTGACACAGCCCAGAGCCTGGAGCCTGCTTCGGATTCTGTGTCTCCCTCTCTCTACCCCTCACTCGCTCACACTCTATCTCTCTCTCTCTCTCACAAATAAACAAAATTTGTAATAAAATAAAAATAAAAATAAAATTTTTAAAAAATTAAAAGCAATTCATTAAAACAATTTTTTTCAGTATCTTCCCAACAGAGACTACAGGAAAGTAGCTTCAACCAGAGGGCTCAACAGTAAGAATGTTTGCACATTAAATCCATCAAAAGCTATTTATTTATCTGCTTGCAATCTAAGTACCAATAAATTATGAAAATTATATTAACTTTTAAGGAGTATGCTTCCCGACTCCCAAGTTTTTACTACAGAAAATTTCAAAGACACAGAAAAGTTACATAAATTTGAACTTAATTTACATTTTGGGGACACCTGGCTGGCTCAGTCGGTACAGCCTGCGACTCCTGATCTCAGGGTTGTGAATTCAAGTGTCATGTTGGGTATAGAGATCACTTAAAATAAATTTTTTTTTTTAATTTACATTTTGTCCTACTTGCTATATGTAATTTGTTTTTCTCAATCATCTCCAAGTTGCAAACATGATACTTCAACCACAATCACTTCAGCACACACCATCTAAAAATAAGAACATTTATCTATAATCACAACTTCATTTGCTTATATGTAAGAGTCAAAATAAAGTTTAACTTATTAAAGTAAAAATGATTTGTGTCTGGGGGTAGCTCAATCAGTTGAGCGTCAGACTCCTGATTTCAGGTAGTGATCCCAGGGTTATGGGCTTGAGCCCCACGTCAGGCTGCAAGCTGAGCATGGAGCCGACTTGAGATTCTCCATCTCCCTCTGCCCTTCTCCTGCTAGGGCTCTCTCTTGAAATAAATAAATACATAAACTTAAAAAAAAAAAAAGTGTCTAACATCCAATGCACCCATTTAAAAAGAGCTAGCAAAAATGTTTTTTTTTTAATAGGATGCTTCAGACATGAAAAATGTCTGATTCCCCTTTAAAGAATATTCACATGCTTAAATTCATCTGGCTATCTACCAGTCAATGTAAGTTCTAAATTAGAACTTTAAAACTTCATTCTAAACTTTGTAATCTTGGGGCACCTGGATGGTTCAATCCATAGAACATGCAACTCTTTACCTCAGGGTCGTGAGTTTGAGCCCCACGTTGGGTGTAGATATTAAAAAATTTTTCTGTAATCTCTATTAAGTTCTCAAATGCAAATAAGCTTGGTTATCTGAATACTTAGTCATATTTTTTGCAGGAATAAATTGTGACTATGGCGTTTTTTCTATACAGAAATACATTATTTTTATTTGGGCCCTAGGAATTTCAAGTTTCATGAGGCCCTTAACCCATGAAACAATCACCTATTTTCATAGATTTTAAAACATTTTAACTGTAATGCTCATACTTTTATAAACCATACTAACTAACACCAAAGGCAAATAAAATATTAATAGTTTTCAGTGGACAACCAACCACACTCAAATTATAAACCATCTTAGGAAAAGAGATTAATCTCAATGATCTATTGCAATGCAATCTCTAAGGTATAGCAAAGTGTAATACACACACACACACACACACACACACACACACACACACACGGTAGTAATGCTCCAATTTCCATATCCATACCTAGGCCGGGGAGGGAGACAGATATAGACATGGGTGTTCTCTCAAGACAAAACTTTTGTGTTTTTTTTTTGTTTTTTTTTTTTTTTTTTTTTTTAAGGCAAAACTTCTTTTGAAGGATACACAAAACATCATCCATGTTTTTTTGGAGGGGCAGATGGAGGATCAGAAGGAGAGAAACTTTCACTATAAATACCTTTTTGTATCACTTTTAACCACATACCTGTACTGCTTTTATGGAAAAGTCCAAACTTAGTTGAAAATAAAACCAATTTTCTTTAAATTGGACAAAGAAAGGCCAAGAGACTCATAATAAATCCAACTAGCAATATACAGTCTATCTACATAGTGCTTAATGTACTTTTGTTTATTAATCTTACCACAGAAGGGGAACCTTGTAACTGCAAACATCCATATACACTGAAGATCATGTAATCAGTCTATGTGCAGTATCACTGAAACACAAGCCTTCATGTGGATACAGATCCTCACAAAAAGACAGTATAATGCTGATATTAAGAATATGAACTGTGTCTATCATTGGCAACTGAGCTGCATATGCAGTGGCAGAGGTGGTAAGGGACAGACCTCATGCCCTAGAAGACTCAAGAGACCTTCACACATGTGCAGCATACCACAGAGCCTCCCAAAGCCTAGCAGGACCAAATGGAGTCCTGCTGCGTAGCCCCTCTTAGGCTCCTGCAAATTCTAGGAGATGTCCAAATCCTAAGCCTCCAGGATCCCTTTTGGCCCTAGATCCATGCTGGAATCTATGGTTTTCTCCACTCCTAAGACAAAAAGGCAACAGTCCTGACGTGGGAGAGCAAAAGAGACAAGTTATAGTTAATTTTTTATTTTGACAGGGCACTGAGCTAGATATAGATCCCATAGAAAACAGTGTCCTTCCTCCTGTAACAGTAAGATAACAAGATGATCTGAACTAGAAGAAGATATTCCACCTGATCCTGTAATATTCCTAGGATCCTACATATTAACATTTTTCATTCACTTAGTTCTCCTTCCCAGTGAACACCTACTAATTCTGTAAAATGTGAACAAAAGCAGCCTAGTATTTGGAAGGAAACTTAAGCCAGAAAAAAGCACTGCTACTATTCAGATAGTTACAATAATCTAATGCAGTGCTTCTCAATTTAATATTCTAACAATCACCTGGGATCTTATTACGTGCAGATACCAATTTAGTGAATTTTGGGGTAGGACCAGAGATAACTGTATTTTTCTTTTGAGATACTGTATTTTTAATAAGCACCTACTTGTTGATGCTACTGCTACAACATTTTGAGTAGCAAGACTAAAAGATCTTTTACTATTACCCAAGTAAGACAGGTCAGACTATCTCATGAAGTGTGTGTCTGATACTGCACAATGATATAAACTAAAGCATACACAAAAACAGACACACACACACACACACACACACACATCCTGTGACAACACATAATCCTTAAGTTTCAAAAAAAAAAAAGAAAATCCCACACGATGTTAGAAATTCACACGCAATATTTAGGGAAGGATAGGAAGGATTTTCAACATAACAACATTTTCTCTCTTTTCCATGGACCCTTTTCCTCTTAAGAAACTACCCGGCACACCAGCCATTTCTACCATAACATCTAGAGTAAACTACATTGCTATTATGAAAATTATTTCCTCTGGGGGCACCTGGGTGGCTCAGTCGGTTAAGCGGCCGACTTCAGCTCAGGTCATGATCTCACGGTTTATGAGTTTGAGCCCCGCATTGGGCTCTGTGCTGACAGCTCAGAGCCTGGAGCCTGTGTCTCCCTCTCTCTCTCTCTAGGCCCCTCCCCGCCCCTGCTCACACTCTGCTTTCTCTCTCAAAAATAAATAAACATTAAAAAAAAATTATGTCCTCTGGGAACTCAAGGGCCAACCAACACATGTAAGAATATACCCTTCTTTGGGGCGCCTGGGTGGCGCAGTCGGTTAAGCGTCCGACTTCAGCCAGGTCACGATCTCGCGGTCCGTGAGTTCGAGCCCCGCGTCGGGCTCTGGGCTGATGGCTCAGAGCCTGGAGCCTGTTTCCGATTCTGCGTCTCCCTCTCTCTCTGCCCTTCCCCCGTTCATGCTCTGTCTCTCTCTGTCCCAAAAATAAATAAAAAAACGTTGAAAAAAAAATTAAAAAAAAAAAAAGCATATACCCTTCTTTGAGAACTCAAATTACTGTCAAGCAAAACATTTGTGTGTAGACATAACCATAGCCGTCAGGGTTCCAACTTTGAAAAGCAAAGGGCAGAT